ACCCTGCAGCACAGCTAAGCACATCCTTTTGCAGGAGATGCTCTACCCTAGTCATTTGGTGCGGAAGAGTTACAGGCGTATCTGAGCAGTTTATGCAGAGGCACATTCACAGATCTGGCTGGACAATGCTGTCACAGGTCCCGGGAAAGGAGGGCTGAATCTAATAAATGTGAGAGGTTAGAGTTGGTCTCTTCTACTTTTAACAGTTGTTGCATAGTTTTAAAATTCAACATCATCTTGGTGAATCTCACTGAAGTTGCTCAGCTCATACTGAGAGCAGAGCTTCCTGGCTTTGTTGGACAAAATGGTTTTATTGAGAGAGGGTAAAGAAATTAAGAGCCACAGGAAAATGTAGCATGCTGTTTCCTGCAGAACCTCTCTTACATTTTCAGGACTGATCCTGAAGTCTGTCCTATTCAATGTTCAATTCTTAGACATTCTGTCATACTCAGGAAATAAGCCATGATATAAAGCTATTTATTTTCTTATGCTTTGCAATTTGATTATATTTAATCCGATTAGTTTCAGCTTAATAGTTTTGACATTTACACCACAAACGTAAACAAAGAACAATATTGGTTCATCTAATCAAAACAAAACCACCAAGGGAATGGCTATAGCGTCTACCTCCTAAGAACAGAAACAGTAAATACCTTTCAGAATATTTTGTGGTTTTTTTAAAAAAACAGGGAAGGCTAACCGCAGACTTCCCACCACCTGCTACTTTAATTTCAGGTGGCCAGTGCCTGGGATACATTACCGACTGCAATTCAACAGGTTTTAGATGAGGTTCTCTGGGCTATACAAATCCAGGAGCTAGTGCCTAGTGAGCACACCAGCCTCCTCTGCTCCTCAAACCATACACGAGTAGTACCTACCAAAACGAATGGTTTCCTTCCGAACCCAGTCAACTTCTTAGTGTAGCCATGAGGTGTCAGCAGAGACCGCTGTTTCTGTGCAAACCCTTCTAAAACAGAAAAGGTGTCTCAAGGCAGAGCATTCAAACTCCGATTATAAGCAACACAAACAGCAAAGTGCGATGTGACCCAGCACTGGCACTGCTAATATCCAGCCAAAGATGGGATGTAACAGCGATACAGCTGCTGAAAGGACTGGCAACAAGGGAAGGAACACTTTGAGGGCCCAGCTGGGGTTAAATCCGACGCGTAAAACACAGGACAAAGCTATTACAGTAAAACAGCACTACAATGTTTTAGTAAAAGTAGAAAGATCTGATTTTTTGTAACCCAGCTAGAATGCAACCCAGCAGTTAAAGACCTGTAACCTAAAGTAAAACTCCAGGGGCTGAACTTGGCCTTCAAGGTAACCACCTTGTCTGGCCTCCAAGGACATCTGAGCAAATTCCTGTGAGCTTGCATCAGCTGGGCCAACTACTGTGCCCGCTTCGCAAACACACAGGGAGTCCTGCAGCACAGGGGAGTCTCTCCTGAGCACAGAATGAGAGAATGTGTTGGGCTCCAAGGGACCTCTCCAGGCCATCTAGTCCAAGCCCCTTGCCATGTGCAGGGATGTCTTTCAGCAGATCAAGTTGCTCAGAGCCCCATCCAGCCTGACCTTGAACATCTACAGGGACAGGGCCTCCACCACGTGTGTCTGCACAGTCATCAGGGCTATTGGCTTTGTATCAGTGACCAACAAGTGCATGGAGCTACTCTAACTGAAGCTGTGTCTGAGCCAGTAACGTCCCCCTGGTCATCAGAGGCGGGTATGCAGAGACATCCAGGCTGCTCTGCAGAAGCCAGCTCAGGAATAGCACAGACCCAGACTGAATCCTTGTGGTTTCATGTCTACATTATATTCACCAGCATCTCCTTTAAATGTCTTGCACACACGCAGTTTTTTCACCCTCAGGGTTTCCTTTGACTTCCCCTATCCTTCTCTGCCACACCTTGAGCAGGCCTTTAAACCGGTGACCAGGACTGGCCAGTAGCTCTGTGCACTCTACCTGCTCAACCAGTACTGCTCCACCCAGAGCACCTATTTCTCTTCACTTTAAACGCAGCCCGTTACCTATGAGCTTGCAGTTCACCAGAAAGTAATGGAAACAGTCAGTGTCCTCATCTCAGTAACACAGTTTGGGGAAAACACAGCAAAGAACTGGGTATTAAATAAACATTAGTTTCATTAAAAGAAAGAAGCTGATAAGGTCACTCGTGTCAAATTACATCAAGTCCTTTCCAGGATGTTTTCTCTTTCTAGCGTAATTCTTCAAAATACCCAAGGCTTATTTGATTATTTCAAACCACCTTTTTTTTTTTTTTTGGAATTCAGAAGGAATGTCAGATAAATTATGGGGTTATACAAATATTCAGGAGCAGAAGATACTCATTATTACCATTGTGGCAGATTACTGCAGGAAGTCAGAATGAGAAATTTAGGAAAGCCATGGAAATGAGGATTGCTCTAATTCAATAACAGATTAATCAGCTTTCTAATTAGATCTGATTACTTGAGTATCTTATATTGTAGTTGCGTAAGTATCTTACAAATACCTACCACATTTGACACAGGTACTTCAAAAGCATCATATAAACTGTAGAATAGATATGCAGAAAAAGTTAAAGAAAAATATATATCTTAGTTCTTCCATGTCTCACCAAATAATTCCCAGCTCTGAGATGCCATTTTATTTAATTTTACAACATTTAAAACCATTGTAAAAACAAATCTGTAATAAATATTCAAAAAATAATCAGGTGATATTTTACTGTTACAGCTTACAGTAGTGTCTGAGTAACATCATACAACTTGTATTATAAATAGCTTCATCAGCACCAAAACACAGAAACATTGCATTTTACATCATTCACTTAAGCACATGGAATTTTGGCTACAAAGGATTTTTCTCTTACTCTTCTTACAGAGCTGATTTGGTATGCTTTAACTTGTCAAATGCCCAGTTACACAGTCCCAACATAAGGCAACGTAGAAAACCAACAAGGGAGCAGGTCAGAATTACAAAATGCTCCTGGCTACTCACGGATTTTCTACTGCTCTGTCTATTCAGGATTTCTAGCCTTATTTCATTCTTAACAAGCAAGGTCTGCCAACCAAAATTTAGATGGGGATTCAGAAACTCAGGTTTCATGTAACCTTGGGCAGTTTTTCTGCTTCGGCTCTCCATTCACATCATGGTAGTAATAATGTTTTCTTACATCTCCAAAGACTGTAAAAGCTCTCGGAAGCTCCCTGCCACCTTTTTTTGTGGAGGAATTGGTACTGTGGGACTAAGATTAGATGTGAGCTCAGTAACTGTGCACTCTAACACAAGATGCAATGGCAGAATTATTCTGGGTACTTAACAGAGGTAGGTGAATGTACTGGAGAAAGTACAAGGGATTTGCTCAACGACACAGTGTGCCCCGCTGACAGCTCCTGAGTAACAGTCCGGAACTGTAATAGACTGAAGTCCTCCAGAAATACAAGATCTAACATAAAAGCAGTGGAGCTGTTAACACATCCAAGTCTTTATTCAAAGCCACAGCAGCCAGGGGAAAATTTCCTCATTCACTTCAGTGGGCACTGAAGTAAACTTTCTCTTAAAGCCATTGCGCAGAGGAAAAATGAATAAACTAGATTGCTTGGCACCGAAGGTGAAACTCGGGTATCCTGTGTGTTCGGTTTTACTCAGCAGTTCTCAGCACAAGTTAATCATATTCCATCACAAAGCATGAGCAAAAGTTCATGAGAAGGAAGCATGATCATTGTAATTCCTAGGCAAAAAAATGGGAAATGTATCCCATACATCTTCTGTTACTATGGAATTGAAAAAGCAGCTAGCAATAAGCTCAAAGAGGTAGGTATGTAGCCTGCGCATCTGACAGATTGGGGCTGGCTACAAAAGTTACACATCTGGAAAAGCAGCTGTATCTTTCCCTTGCAGTACACTCAGCACTGCACTGCGCTTGAGAACTTCATCCTCATAGTCACGACCATCTGCCAGATAACCAATATCAAGTTATTCACATTATCTAGGCCTTGTATCTCCTCATTTTATAACAGCAGCAAAGCTCATTTTTTAAAAAATTACTCATTTCTTTGTCTTCGTGCTGTAAGTAATGACTTTAGGACAGAGAACACGATGTTGTGTCTCTCCTTAGACATTACACACAGCTGAAAAGAACTAGGCTTCTGGGGTTCTCTAGTTTCTCACATCTTCCCATTTTTGTGTCTTGTCACAAAGAAATAACATGACTGTGGTAGAGATAGGAGGGAAAAGAAAGATCCCATAAATACAAAAGGCGTACACCAGAGTAAAGATTCATATTCACCTCACTAGATGTCCTGGCAATGCGCTAGCACGAGGATTATCGCTGGAGTTCTCAAATATTCTGAATTTCTTCCTATTCCTTTATTTTCAACTTTAATTTGTGCAACAAAATCATGTCAAGCACGCAATATTAACTGAGGATATTTATGCCTCACACTCTCCCAGACTCAGATGTACGGAACTCGTGTCTCTCTGTGGTCCTCCAAAGGCAGGAGGACAACAGCACCTACTGCAGAGCAGCCATCTGAGAGCAGCTCCACCAGCCCGACTGGAATCCCAGGTGTACTTACCAGGAGTCTCAGAGGAGAAACCAAAAGCTAAGTGGACGATACGTACAGTCCCACAAGGGACTCTGAGGCATTTGGTTGGGACAGCAGGAAGGAGAAAAAGCAAGAGATCTCCCTTGTTCAAAGCACTGAATGGAGATGTCTTATGAGCTGCGAGCTGAAATTATTCTGGAAACACTAACACTGCAATGTGCTGCCTTCTAAAGTCACAAGGGCTTCCTTATTGGCAACACTCAAAATGTTTTACCGATTTATCTGAATCTTCGCAGTTTAGAGCTAGCTGCGAGGAAAAGGGTTTACGGCAGCTGACAAGATACTCAGTCACAGCCTTGCCCGCTCTGTTAGCCCTGGTAACCAGCTGGAGTGAGCAATCCACATTTCTAAGGTCTGCGGGGCTCTGCTGTTGCAATGATACCTGCTGTTCACAACGTCTGTTCACGTCGCTGTTTCAGACCCACAACTCTTGCTGCCAGAAGAAACACAGCCCCGGTGAGCACTTCTGCGACAAAGGAGATCCAGACTAGTGCCAGCGACCAGCCAAATCTGATGTCGACCTCTACCAGGAGATCCTTACTCCTCAGGAGGCACACGGCTTCTTCGAAGGCAGCGGCTGAATACGCAATATAGACACTGATCCCAGTAAGCGTAACAAGAGCTGAGAAAGAAAAACATATTCAGCTAGTTAGCAACCACTGCAGAAATTAAGAGTAATTAATTGGATATTTCTTCAGGCTTCTTTGCTACTCCTTCTTACCTTCCCAGGCCAGATTACCAGCCAGCTCCTGCTTACCTTCAAAATCTAGTTGCGGCTATGTTTTGAGGAAAGGTAAAAGGGAAATAAAGGGAAGGTTACTTCTGTCCCTTGAGTTTAAAGCATTCTCACCGTTAAATACTGATTCAAAATGTATTATATCAAGCTTCCTACAAGAAGAATCTAGTCATACCTTTTTCCAGACATCTAAGCATGTACATCTCTGTTTTCAATACTGTATTAGAATACATCCTGCTTTCTCATTGCTGTGCACCATGTACAGATGTCTACTTCTGTGCAAGACAGCCCATGAAGACAGAGATTCCAGCATTTCAGGTCCATGAACTGAACTTAGGCTGCTTTCTAATTTTGAGTGCCATAAGTTTTGAGTGTTCAATGTAAATGTGCTGGTCTTTACTGTCACCTCCCAGCAAACGTGCTGGAGTCACGACTATTCGTCACTTCCAAATAACCGAGTCAAAGACATCCTTAGAGCAGACTAAAAATAAAATAATAAAGGCACTCAAACAAGAAGTCAGATGTTTTCAGGACTGGCAGCAAAAAAAAAGTGACAGAAAGATCCTTGACTAAAGGACTGTAACCCAGTGAAAGTAGATACTGGAACACTTGTAGGACAAGATAGTGTCCTACCCGATTCTGAAGGAGAAAAATTTTGGTCTGTCTTTCTGTTAAATCACAGTGTAAGTCTAAATGAGTCTGCATTCTTGCCAGAAAAATAAGTTTGAGCAGAAGCAAACCAAGAGTATTTGATTATTCAAGAGTCAAAATTCATACTCATATTCCTGATTTTAAACATGCTACGATGCCTGTCCCTTATTCTAGTCCACTGCAAGTGGGAGAAAAAATCACATTATACCTTTTGCCAGCAGAAATGAAAATGAGTGTTTTGTTGATATTTTCCACGAGGTATGCCAAGTTCTGTGATCCCCATTAAGCACGGCCACATTTCAGGAAAAAAGGGAACCGTACAAGATGTCCTGGAACACAGAGCATATCGCTCCTGCTATTTTCCAAAATAACTCAGGTTTCTGGAATTGCATCATAAAATACTTCTCTCTGCTGAGACAGAACTACGAAGTCAGCACTGAACTTTGTGAACTGGGATATCCTATAAAACTCTGCCTGGCTGGTACATTTTGGTAGGAACAACCCCAGGTTCCAGTATAG